AGAATTTTGGCATCCATGTTCATCAGGGACATTGTTCCGTAATTCTCATTTTTCAGAAGAAAGAGAAATTAAGGAATTGATCCCATTTACAATTGCACTAAAACTCATAAAATACCTGGGAATAAACCTAACCAAAGAGATAAAGATGTGTACTCTGAAAACTATAGAATGCTTAGGAAAGAAATTGAGGTAGACACAAAGAAATGGAATAACATTTTGTGCTCATGAATTGGGAGAATAAATACTGTTGAAATGCCTATGCTACCTAAAGTAATCACACATTCAATGCAGTCCCTATCAAAATACCATCAGCAATTTTCATAAAGTTGGAACAAACAATCCTAAACATTGTATGGAACCAGAAAAGACTCCAAATAACCAAAGGAATGTTGAAAAATAAAATCAAACCTGGTGGCATAAAATTCCAGACTTCATGCTATATTATAAAGCTGTAATCATCAAGACAGTATGGTACCAGCACAAAAACAGACACACAGATCTATGGAATAGAACACAGAACCCAGAAATGGAGCTTCAACTATATGATCAGCTAAACTTTAACAAAGCAGGAAAGACCATGGAATGGAAAAACGTTCCTTCAACAAATGGTATTGGGACAATTGGACAGCCATGTGCAGAAGAAACTAGACAATTTTCTTACACCATACACAAAAACAAACTCAAAATGGATGAATGACCTAAATGTGAGACAGGTATCCATCAAAATCCTAGAGAACACAGGCAGCAACTTCTTTGATCTTGGCCACAGCAACTTCTTGCTCAAGATGTCTTCAAAGGCAAGGGAAACAAAAGCAATAATGAACTTTTTGGACTTCATCAAGATAAAAAACTTCTGCACAGCAAAAGAAACAATCAACAAAGCGAAAAGACAACCTACAGAAAGGAGAAGATATTTGCAAATATCTTATCAGATAAAGGGTTTGTATCCAAGTTTCATAAGGAAGTTATTAAATTCAACACCCAGAAAAGAAAAAATCTAGTCAAGAAATGGGCAGAAGACGTGAACAGATACATCTCCAAAGAAGACCTAAAAATGGCCAACAGACATGAAAAAATGTTGCAAATCCCTTGGCATCAGGGAAATACAAATCAAAAGCACAATGAGATCCCATCTCACACCAGTCAGACTGGTAAAATTAACTTATGAGGAAACAAGGATGTTGGCAAGGATGTGGAGAAAGATGAACCTTCTTACACTGGTGGTGGGAATGCAAGCTGGTACAGACATTCTGGAAAGTTCCTCAAGAAGTTAAAAATAGAGCTACCCACAACCCAGCAACTGCACTACTAGGTATTTATCCAAAAGATATAAACATAGTGACCTGAAGAGGCACCTCAATCTTTATAGCAGCAATGTCCACAATAGCCAAACTATGGAAAAAGCCCATATGTCCACCAATAGATGAATCAATAAAGAAGATGAATCAATAAAGAAGATGTGGTATGTATGTATGTATGTGTGTATATATATATATATATATATATATATATATATATGGAAATAGAGGGTATTATTATGGGTGAAATAAGTCAGTCAGAGAAAGGCTAATACCATATGATTTCACTCATGTAAAATTTAAGAAATAAAGCAGATGAACATAGGGGTAGGGAGGGAAACATAAAGTAATATGAAATTAGAGAGAGAGAAAAACCATAAGAGATCTTTAACTATGGGAAACAATCTGAGTTTGCTGGAAGGGAGGAAGATGGGGGGATGGGGTAACTTGGTGATGGGCATTAAGGAGGGCACGTGGTGTAATTAACAGTGTTATATCCCACTGATGAATCACTGAACTCTACCTCTGAAACTAATAATATACTATATGTTAATTAATTGACTTTAAATAAAATAACACAAATTTAAAAAATAAATGATTTAGAGAAATGCTAATGATATGACATTAAATGTAGAATGAAGATATAAAATTAGAACTGTTCATCATGGAGAGGTAGAGTTTAGGGGAGACATAAAGAAAGATTCAGCCATCTTAGCCCTAGTATTTTATTTATACACAATAGAACAGGAAAGAAATACATCAAATATTTACAAAAGTTATCTCTTTCTGGGTAGAATGTTTTAATGTGATTTTTAATTTTCTATTTTTCTGTGTTTTTCCCCAAAATTGCCTGCAACAAAAGTGATATCATTGTAATTAAAAAAAATAATGTTTTAGAAAAGATAATATAGGTTTGTCAGAAAGTAATTTCTGTAGCTCCATCCATGTCATTGCAAATGGCAAGTTTTTGTTATTTTTTTATGGTTGAGCAATATTCCAGTGTGTGTGTGTGTGTGTGTGTGTGTGTGTACTACATCGTGGATGGAGCTTGAGTGTATTATGCTGAGCTAAATAAATCAGAGAAAGACAAATACCATATGATTTAATTCATATGTTGAATTTAAGAAAAAAATGAGCATAGGGGGGACAAAAGAGAGAAGGAAACCAGAAAGAGATTTTTTAAAATATAGAGATCAAAGCAATTGTTACCAGAGGGGTGATGGTCTGGTGGAGGGGTTAAATAGGTGATGGGAATTAAGGAGTACAGTTTTTATAATGAGCATATGGTGCTGTGTGTAGGTGCAGAATCACTAAATTGTACACCTGAAATTAACATTGCACTTTATGTTAACTATCTGGAATTTAAATTAAAACTTGAAAAAATATTAAAAAAATACTTTCTGGAGGCTTTTTTTATTAGAAGCAGATTCTTAAAGTTACAGGTTATTAGGGCATTGTGTGGGAAATATCACAATGGAACCAGACAGAATGGTGGGGATCTTCGAGTTGATCTAGGGTCTACATAAAGCACACTAAGACAATTCCTTTAATAGGTCTAACAACCTAGATGGTATCAGAGGCTGCTGCTGCCTGCCACTGAAAGAAACAGTCCAATAGTATTTCTATATGACCCTACATCATGTCCCATTGCAACACTCATATGTTAAAAGCTATTTGGCTTCAATGGGACTCAAAATGAATTATTTTTTTAAAGATTTTATTTATTTGACAGAGATCAAAAGTAGGCAGAGAGGCAGGCAGAGAGAGAGAGAGAGAGAGAGAGAGAGAGGAGGAAGCAGGCTCCCTGCTGAGCAGACAGCCCGATGCGAGGCTCGATCCCAGGACCCTGGGATCATGACCTGAGCCAAAGGCAGAGGCTTTAACCCACTGAGCCACCCAGACACCCCTCAAAATGAATTATTAATGTGCACTCTATCCAAACTTGAGGAAAGAACTAGGATTAGATTAAGTAGTGTCTTTCTGATCATCCTTCCTTATCTCTGAACCATTTAAATCTCCAACACTGAAGGAGAGAAGAATCCATTTGCACCAGAACTCAATGGGTAGGCCCATTTTTCTAGAAGCAGTTTCTACCAGCTTGAGCATATAAGTGTTTAAATATAAAATCCTATCCAACTTTTGCATCAACATGGATGGGACTGCAGGAGATTTTGCTGAGTGAAATAAGTCAAGCAGAGAAAATCAATTATCATATGTTTTCAGTTACTTGTGGAACATAAGGAATAACATGGAGGACATTAGGAGAAGGAAAGGAAAAGTGAAGGGGGGATAATTGGAGGGGGAAATGAACCATGAGAAACTGTGGACTCTGAGAAACAAACTGAGAGTTTTAGAGGGGAGGGAGTGGGGGATGGGTATTAAGGAGGGCACATGTTGCATGGAGCACTGGGTGTCATATGTAAACAATGAGTCTTGGAATACTACATCAAAAACTAATGATATACTGTATGGTGACTAACATGCACAATAAAAATTAAAAAAATCCTACTCTCATTAAGAGTGGGGCAAAAACAGAAACTGTGTCTTCTCAAGGAATTACAAAGCTTGGCTGTTTGGTATTTTTATGCTAGAATGGCAGGACCATGACCAAGAGACCATATAGTACTTTGTAAACCACAAAGCTATAGTCAATGGCACCTAAATCCCACAGTTGTAAAGCAGCATGAAAAATCCTTCTACTAGTTATATACCCTCTGAAAAAGGGGAACAACCTATTTAAAGCAAAAAATATATATATATATGGTTTAGTATAACAGAATCATGCAAGTGATCATGGTTTTAGACCCAGCTATATTTTCTACAATTTATTTTAAAATGCTTTTATACAGAGAGTGTGATATATACATGCACATTAATTTTAATCTGTGCTCTAGGGGCATTTAGTTAACATCTGAAGTGCCTTAATCAGGCATACACACTCAAGAGGTGATTTGTTAACACATTAAACACTCAGAAGTCTTTGTTCCAGAGACGACTATTTCCAGCAGTTCAGTCACTTTAATACAGGAGGCCTAATTAGCCTAACACATGTTAAAAATGAATTTTCATTGGTAAAATGAATGTTTTTCAAGATGTGTACTAGCAAAAAATGTCTTACAGTCTACATAGCCCTCACAAGACCTGGGTATAAAAATCTAGTGAGCCCTATAGCTTTTACCCTTTAGAAGGAAGCCTTAAGCTCAAGATTTAAAATAGGTATTATGTCTTGTCCCCCATCAGAGGATTTTGTCACCAGACTCTAAGTAGAAAGTTAGTTGAAGCTTGTTGCTATAATATCACCAACTCTTCCTTGACTAACCTCTTCACAGAAGATGCTGCCATGTATCTAAGAACAAAAATGGGACTTCACTGAGATTACAGAACAGGTTGTATGACTTCTTTTGTGTTTATTTGCTAATAAATGTTTGTATGTTTGGGAGAATTGAGACTGAGGTTTGCCTCCAGTGTAATAGTCTTATCTAGGCATGAGATTGTGATGGAGGCAAATTATAATTCTTACTTAACTCTGACTAGTAGAAACTGATATCTGGCAAAAAAGGACCTAATAATAGGAGACCACCAAAATAGATTAGGTCAGTTTACAACCGAAATCTTCCCTCTGCTTCTAGAAAAATGAAAACTAATTCAAATCCTCTATGCTCTTCATAGCTATATTCTTCTTTCTCTTCTCAGGTCACTTACCAATTTTTTCATCTTCCTGTACCATTTTCCTCTCTTCTCTGAAAGCCCTGAGCCAGCGTATTTTCTCCTCCAGTTTTTTGGCAAAGAATAGATGTATCTCCTCAGTCTCCTTGTTGTGAAGCTTGAAGGCATTTTTCATGCTGACATTAAAGTCATCATCTCTGCCATCTTCAATGTCAACTACTTCATATTTATCCATGTCAATGCGGCCTTTGTAGTACAGGATATCTCTTCGGATCAGGTCCTAGGTGAGAAGGAAGAAAAGGCTTTTTACTGGAGGTATGTGGACAGTAGGTACCATGAGAGTTGGCTCATGGGCACAGCAGGATGCTAAGGCTGCCGTTGTTTTGGAGTACCATAAGGGGTTGGTTTGGTCAAATTTAGGCAGGTTAGTTTAGCAGTATGACATTGATATCTTGGTTAACTAGATGCTCTTAGAGAAAGCCTTTGTCCTACAACCAAGGACTCTGTCTCAGACCACAACATCAATCCTTGTATGTGTTTATAAGACACATATATGGGGATCAGGATGTAGTAAACCACACAAGCATTACCAGCATGGGCCTTTTCTTTTCTAAAATATTTGCAAGCCCTCCAGAACTATGAAATAAGTTAGATGTTTGTCTTGGGCAAACTTGGGAATTCAAGCAGGCTAAGGAGACCTGCATATCAGACTTGGGATGAGTGGTAAGAGTACCAAGGTGGCCACAGTCTGCTGGCCAGGAAGGATTACATGGAAATGATTGAATGCTCAGCACCTGGGGGATTTTGGAGAAGGCCTAGTCTGGCAGGGGAAGTGGGGTAAGACTGAATAAATAGCTTCATATATTGACTTGAATGAATCTCACAAATCTTACCGCATGAAACACATAAAAGTGTAGATGGATACAAACAATATATAGCCTATCTTTTATTATTGTTGTTTTACTCTTTGGTATCCAGAATTGGATCAATACTCTCAGTCTATGAGGTACTCATCATTAGTTCACACAGGGTGCTCTTATTCCTCATTTTTTTACTTACTTACTTTTAATAATACATTAAATTTTGGTGAACCTGCTGCTCAATTTAAAAGCTATGGTGTTGCAACTTCTTTCAAGATATGTCTCCAAAGGCAAAGGAAACAAAAGCAAAAATGAACTTTTGGGGCTTCATCAAGATCAAAAGCTTCTGCACAGCAAAGGAAACAGTCAACAAAACAAAGAGGCAACCCACGGTATGGGAGAAGATATTCACAAATGACAAAACAGACAAAAGGCTAATATCCAGGATCTATAAAGAACTCCTCAAACTCAACACACACAAAACAGACAATCATATCAAAAAATGAGAAGAAAAAAAAAATGAGAAGAAGACATGAACAGACACTTCTCCAATGAAGACATACAAATGGCTAACAGACACATGAAGAAATGTTCACCATCACTAGTCATCAGGGAGATTCAAATCAAAACCATATTGAGATACCACCTTACACCAGTTAGAATGGCCAGAATTAACAAGACAGTAAACAACATGTGTTGGAGAGGATGTGTAGAAAGGGGGACCCTCTTACACTGTTGGTGGGAATGCAAGTTGGTGCAGCCACTTCGGAGAACAGTGTGGAGATTCCTTAAGTAATGAAAAATAGAGCTTCCTTATGATCCTGCAATTGCACTACTGGGTATTTACCCCAAAGATACAGATGCAGTGAAAAGAAGGGCCATCTGTACCCCAATGTTCATAGCAGCAATGGCCACAGTCGCCAACTGTGGAAAGAACAAAGATGCCCTTCAATGGACGAATGGATAAGGAAGATGTGGTTCATATACACTATGGAGTATTATGCCTCCATCACAAAGGAGGAACACCCAACTTTTGTATCAACATGGAAGGGACTGGAAGAGATTATGCAGAGTGAAATAAGTCAAGCAGAGAGAGTCAATTATCATATGGTTTTGCTTTTTTGTGGATCATAAGGAATAACACGGAGGACATGGGGAGATGGAGAGGAGAAGGGAGTTGGGGGAAATTGGAGAGGGAGACGAACCATGAGAGACTGTGGACTCTTAAAAACAATCTGAGGGTTTTGGAGGGGAGAGGGGTGGGCGGTTGGGTGAGCCTAGTGGTGGGTTTTGTGGAGGGCACGTATTGCATGGAGCACTGGGTATGGTGCATAAACAATGAATTCTGGAACACTGAAAAGGAATTTAAAAAAAGAAATTTTAAAAAAAAGGAAAAAAAATAAAAGCTAAGATGCTGAACAGCCATTTTTCCAAAGAAGATATACAAATGACCAACAGACACATGAAGAAAAATGCTCAACATCACTTGGCATCAGGGAAATAAAGATCAAAACCACAATGAGATACCACATCACACCAGTCAGGATGGCTTAAATGAACAACTCAGGATGAGGATTCAGAGAAAGGAAACTCTCTTACACTACTGGTGGGAATGCAAGCTGTTACAACCACTCTGGAAAGCAGTATGAAGGTTCCTCAAAAAGTTAAATACAGAGCTACCCTATGACCTAGCAATTATGCTACTAGGTATTTATCCAAAGGATATAAATGTAGTGATCCAAAGGGGTACTTGCACCCCAATGTTTACAGCAGCTATGTCCACAATAGCCAAGCTACGGAAAGAGCTGAGATGTTCATCAACAGACGCATGGATAAAGAAGATATGGTGTGTATACACATACGCACACATGCACACACACATACACACACAATGGAATATTCCTCAGCCATCAAAAACAATGAAATCTTACCATTTATATCTATGTGTATGGAACTAGAGGGTATTATGCTAAGCAAAATAAGTCAATCAGAGAAAGAAAATTATCATATGATTTCACTCATATGTGAAATTTAAGAAACAAAACAGGATTATAGGGGAAGGGAGGGAAAAATAAAATAAGATGAAATCAGGGAGGAAGGCAGACCATAAAAGACTCTTAATTATAGGACACAATCTGAAGGTTGCTGAGGGGACGTGGATGGGCGGATGGGGTAACTGGGTGATGGGCATTAAGAAGGGCATATAATGTAATTATCACTGGGTGTTACAAGCCACTGATAAATCACTGAACTCTACCTCTGAAACTAGTAATACACTATATGTTAATTAATTGAATTTAAATAAAATATAAAAAAATTAAAAAATAAATAAAAGCTACGATGTCACAGCAACCTTAAATCCCATGCTCATCAATCCCGTGGTTTCTTTCCTAATCAGTCTTATCTCATCTTTATCTATTCCACTTATATGAGGTTTAAAAACCTACAAAGGAATGCCACATAATATACAGGAATGCATACATATTTACAGAAATTATACAAAAAATATGACAATGACACATGCAAATTCAAGAGAGTACAAAGAGAAAGAAGATGGAAGGAAGGAAAAGAAAGGTAAAGAGCAGAGAGGGAGCGGAGAAAGAATGTATTTGTAATGAATTATTTCTTAGATTGGATAGTAAGTACATAGGTACCCATTATATAATCTATGTATCTTTTTGAATGTCAAATTTTTTTAAAGGTTTCATTTATTTATTTGACACAGAGAGATCACAAATAGGCAGAGAGGCAGGCAGAGAGGGGGGGGGGAAGCAGGCTCCCTGCTGAGCAGAGAGCCCCATGTGGGGCTCAATCCCAGGACCCTGAGATCATGACCTGAGCCGAAGACAGAGGCTTAACCCACTGAGCCACCCAGGTGACCCTGAATGTCAAATATTTTATGAATTAAAAAAAGAGGGATGGATGAAATGACCTGTAGACTATGGAATGTAAGGTCTGATAAGTGTCTCTCAGAGTGGTCTTTCAGCCCCTCCTTCTCTTAGTACTGCTCTCAACTCCCCCTGAGGGCACACTGTAGAGAGCAAAATGGACTCTCTTATGTCAAGCAGGGATCTGTGTCATGTAATGATGCAGGTAGTTAAATGTACTGCAGCTACAAGATATTGCTGGGACCAGCATCAGCTGGCACCCTAGAACTGATAATGAGTGGAACCAAAGGAGGTCTGCAGGGACCCAGAACCAATTAAATCCCTTTAAAAGGGGGAGGATTTTTGCAGCAAACTATCAGACTCTTCAGACATGAAAGACACTTAAAAAAGGCAACTGCCACCAAAGGCTCTACCCGATTGATCTCTGACCAGAACCGAGATCCCTCACTGCTTGAACATAATAAGCAGTAAGTGCTGAGAGCTGACCAAGACCAGATTGAGGCCCTATCTCAACTGCACACCCACAGACAGACTTCATGTTTGGTTCATTAACTTCCTACACCCCTTCTGTTATTTGTTGTGTGCTTTGTCTTATGTCCTACCCTGTGTTGCGTAAGAAGCCAAGTTTTATCACATGGTGAAATGTCATTGACTTTGGAATCCTAAACCTGCTTTATAATCGTGATTAACTTTATGATTGAATAAAGTTGACACTGGAAAGACACAACTCATGTGTGCACCTTCATAGCATGCCCATGACACACATCTATTCTTGGGACATGTGGTGTGACTAAGTCTGGCCAAGAAAATCCTTTGTCCTGAGAGATGTCTTCTAGTGGCCAACTCATTCTTGCCAACTTTCCCTCCTCTTTGTATATATTTGGCCTTTTAGACAATTTGACAGAATCAGAAATGCTCATTAGTTTTTGTTAACATTATACAGTTTGGTTAAACTATTCCTATTCTGCTGAATTGTCTTACATGCCTCACTTTTCAACTGCCGGCTACCTGCAAAGAATTTGCCTTTGTAATCCTGACTCTTCACACTGCATGGTAAACTGGGTGTTTTGCTATGTCTGGGGAGGGCTGTCTTTAAGAATTCCCAACATAGCTGTGTCAATCTCAAAGTCCAAGGCTATGAAATACAGGTGTTGTTGAATTGATTTGCAAGAAACAATGTCTACATTGTTCTTTTTCATCCCGTAATAATTGTGCATTTAAATAGGCTGTGCTGAGTACAGATGGGTTCTGATTTGTTGGGTATCTCTGGCATCAAGTTCAAAGGAGAGGAAAAAGTCAGCTATACAGAATGGGCCAATGTTGCTCCAAGACTGATTCAGAGCCTGGGTTCCTTTTACCATACTCAAAATAGATAAGCTCAATCCTGGCCAAAAGGATGGGGTTGTTCCCATGCGCTGACTTCCACAGTCCTCAGGAACACTTTATGAGACATGTGCATAAAAAGTGGGCCCTGTCAGTCCAATCTAACTACAAAAGAAGGACAAGCTAAGGAGAATGGATTGATGTAATCTAGTTTGATCTCATAAAGGCCTGAAACCTGGCTTAAAACACTTAATACAAATACACATAGAACTGGGAAGCTAGGTCTAGACTGTACAGCTAATAGGTAGGTACCCACCTGACTAGAATAGGTAGCCTTAACCACCCACTATTCCTAACTTCAGCCAATGAGACAGGGAAACTGAAGGACTCCATAAAAATCTGTTTTTCACTCCTTTTTCTGCTTCTATTCTTGCTAGGACATCCATCCCTATCCCACTTTACCCATGCTTTGTAATGCAAACAGCATATGTCCTCCTTATAAAGGACAGGAGTTAATGATTTCTCTAGAATAGGTAACATCTAAAGAAGACCAGATGAGAATGACTGGACAAAGCTACCATGTGTGTATTCTAGACAACCATGGCTAGACCTCTCAATACCAAGGCCCCCTGGCTCCAAAGAATAATATCTGGGCCCTTGTCCTTGTTCTAACTTGTACCTAGATGCCTGAGAGGACAACTATATCAGAGCACCATCTGCAATAAAACCACTCAGACCCTGAACAAATGAGACTCCCACCTTTCCTTTCTTAGTCTCCCAGAAACTCTGACTGTATCTGCTCTCTCTCTATCTTCAGGAATCTCTGCTTTCACCTCCTGCTAGCTCATGGTTTATTTCCAAGAACACTCTTGGCTGGTCCTACAGGATCCCCTTTGGGTCTCTGGACCCAGCCTGCCAGCATCACCTACAGCTTCCTTTAACTCTGAGTTGGTGTGTCATCATCTTTGTCAGCCTTTAAAATCTTTACTAGTTTCCCAAAACAGGAAAGGATGTACATGATCTTGGAACTAAATTAAAAACATCAACTGAAACTCCTATTGTTTCTTTAGCTATTTAATGATAACAAGAAACTTGAGAGAGTTCTGCTTCTGTGGTAGGGGAATAGGACTAGACAAATGTGTCATTAAGGTTCTCCCTTTGCCTACTCTTTATAGCTCCCCAAAGTGTTGAATGTGAGTTTTCATGCACAAGATTAGTCATAAAGCCAAATTTAGGGATGTGATAGGTATTATTAAGAATGACATACTGTTCAAAAAAATCCCATCAGAAAATTGTAGCCAAGGCCACAAAGCAGCATGCAACGCACATGGAAAGAGTGTGAGTTATACAGACTCCTAGCTGCTTAACCTACTAGCTATGGCCTTGGGAAAGCCATTTTATCTCTCTGCACCTCAATTTTCTCTAAAAATGTTTGTAAACCTCAAATCTAAACACGCAATTTCCAGGTCATGAGGCCAGCCTTGTCTAATAAATATGGTGCCGAGCTTTCTTGGTCCCAGAATAATTTTTTTAAAGATTTATTTATTTGACACAGAGAGAGAACACAAGCAGGGGGAGTAGGAGAGGGAGAAGTAGGCTCCCCACCAAGCAGGGAGTCTGATGCAGGGCTTGATCCCAGGACCCTGGGATCATGACCTGAGCTGAAGGCAGATGCTTTACAACTGAGTCATCCAGGCACACCCAGACTAATTTTTTTTGGTAAGCCTTCAAAACTCCTTTGATGGACCTAAAAATCTCAATTTTTTCTTCCTAATCCATTTAAACTTTCAAAATAATTTAAATATTGTGACAAAAATAAATCAAAGCAAAAGTAACTGAATATTTTAAACTTTACATAGCTACCTCTATGTCCTTGGAAATTCCATTTATCCTTTCAGGGTGGGGGTGGTCGCAGATCTATACTTAGGCTCACACTAATGTGTCCTCCCTGCCCCAGCAATACCTCTTATTCCAATCCAATTCCAGCTTTCAGGTCAATTTTACACATTCTTCTTCCTCAAGTCTTCCCTGAAGGCATCTCTAGCTCAAGTTGTTGCAGTTTCCCTTTTCTGAATGCTAGCACTGATAATGAAGACTCTTATACAACTTAAATTCGGCCACAACACTCCTGAGTTACATTAGTTCCATTTCACAACTTGTAGTCTGTTTATTAAGCTGTGCTGAAGTAGTATACCCTCCTTGCTCTTGCCTCACTCAGGGGCTTCCCAGGGAAAAACAGCTGACAAAGCCTCGGAAGTTTCTCTGCTCAGCTTCTGGACATGGCAAGGGGAAAAAGCCCTCTGGAGTCCTGGTTGTGTAAGGTCTCATTGGGACCAGGCTGCCCAAATGCCACATGTTAATGGTGGTCTGAGTGCTTTCATAGGCACATGGTGAATATGTGTTCACCACAGATGCTATTTAGGTCATCACAAGTTCCCTGCCTAATAGCGTGCCAGCCTTCCTCCTTTTCCCTTACAGTCATCGAAGGTGGAGGATATCAAGGGTGCCAGTGCTTCTCCAGAAGGTCCCTGGCAGTCTGCAGAAAAGCACCAAGCCTAGCCATGGATCCAGCAAGGAGCCTACTCCAATTCCTGACATTATATAATTCAAACAGTTGGGAGATAATTGAATTTGACTTCACTGGGTATTCATGGGGTTTAGTAAGACACTGCAAACATTTTGTATAAATGACAGATGCTGCAATCAGGGGAATGCAACTCTTAGGGACTGTAGTCTATCTCACTTGCTTATCAGTAAGGTCTTTTTAGAGAGGGGCCCCAGTTACTGCCCACCCCTAGCCTTGACCACCCTGGGTTTTCTCTCCAGAGCCTGAGGAAAGCACATAGGGATGGGACTGGAATTATTTTTCTCATTATTTCATTCCAGCATGTAGAGTACATTCTTTTTTTTTTAAAGATTTTATTTATTTATTTGACAGACAGAGATCACAAGTAGGCAGAGAAGCAGGCAGAGAGAGAGGAAGAAGCAGGCTCCCCGCTGAGCAGAGAGCCCGATGCGGGGCTCGATCCCAGGACCCTGGGATCATGACCTGAGCCGAAAGCAGAGGCTTTAACCCACTGAGCCACCCAGGCGCCCCTAGAGTACATTCTTAGTAACAGAATAATAACAGCAACAACAATGGTAACAGTTAACACTTAGCATATATCATATGCTAGACACTATTCCAAATGCTTTTCATTTCCCTAGCTTTATTGAGGTATAACTGACAAAGATTATATATATTTAAGATATACATTGTGATGTTTTGTTATATGTATACATTGTGAAATGATCACCACAATCAAGCTAATTAACATATATATCTCACATGGTTACTTTTTTGTGATGAGAACACTTAAGATGTACTTTCTCAGCAAATTTCAAGTACACAATATAGTATTGTTAGCTCTAGGCACTGTATTGTACACTAGCTCACCAAAATCTATTCATCTTGCATAATGAAAAGTTTTCACCTTTTGACCAGTATCTCTCAATTTCCCAAATCTCCACCAGTCCCTGGCAACCACCACTCTGCTTTATGACTTCAACTGCTTTAGATTCCACATAAAGTGAGATCATAAGGTATTTGCCTTTCTCTGTCTTATTTTACTTAGCATAATGTTCTCCAGGTTCGTCTGTATTGTCACAAATGACAGGCACTCCTCTATTTTAAAGGCTAAATAATATTCCACAGTGTGTGTGTGTGTGTGTGTGTGTTTGTTTGTATGCATGCATCACATTTTCTTCATGCATTCATCCCTCAGCAGCTAAATGCTTTGCACTTATTAACAGATAATCTTCACAACAATCCTACAAGTTGGGTACTGTTATAACCCCATTTTATGAGGTACTATAGATAGAACAGTTAAGAAGCTTACTCAGGAACAAAAGCTACTAAATGGTAGAGTTGGGCTTTGAGTCCAGACTACCTGGCTCAAAAATCTGTGCTTGTTCAACTATTGCATATACTGTCTCTCAAAAGATTTGCTGAATGAATGAACAGTAACACCAAATATGCAGTAATTAAAAAAATATCAATAGCTAACATTTACTAAATACTATGTGCCAGGCACTGCAACTATATTGTTTCATTTAACCCTCACAACTTCTCTTCTCTGTAGATACCATTATGATTTCCATTCTGCAAATGTGAGGCACAGAGAAGACACAGCTCATGGGAAAAGTTGGTACCTTTCTGGCTGGCCCTAGAACCTATGCTCTTAGCACTATACTTCACTGCTTCCCACTACCTTAGGTGGTCCTCCTCAACACATCCTGAGATGAATTCTATCATCAGTCTGATTTGGTGCTGAGGAAAATATGAACATAAAGTTAAAAACAAACAAACAAACAAAACAAAACTGGCCCAAGGTTAGAGACAGTAGAGCCTAGGGCCCAGATGTTCTGGTTTCAAATCTGCATCTCTTTTCTGTTCTTTCCCTAACCTCTGTTGCTATTGTTACATTTCTGAGTTCCAAATCGCTCATCCTCCAAGTCTGGCCCTTCAGTACAAGAAGAAATGGCCCAATGCAGAAAGTTCCTTGAACAGAAGAAGTCTTCCCTCCAGCATTGTTATACTCTATTTAGTGTCTGATCCTCCTAAAATACAATGGAACTAACATAAGTAACTAGTAGTTATGAAACAGAGGACAACAGAGTATGTCCAGGAGGGTATAATTAAAAACAATGGATACAGAGAAAAAGCTGTTTGGGACAACTTCAGAGGTGTAGAATATTAGTGGGTGACTGAGGAGAAAAGAAAGGGGATCTCTACCTCTCCTCGGGGGGGGGGAGGAGAAGAAAAAGAAAAATTCCCCAAAGCAGCAAAATAATTTCCAATATAATCATCTCTGGAAGAAAATAACAAAACACATGCATAATTCAAGTAACAGGGCAATAAGATGCAGTGGAGCAGAGACAGCCATCACAGAAGACAAGAAGAAAGAGAACAAAGAGTCTTATTCTAGATTTTTTTAAGAAAAATTGACAAAGAGGGAAAAATAGCAAAAGTTAAAGAAGTAGTCACAAAATTAGAAGCCACTGGCATCTTTTCCCACCTACTATAATGACCACTTCATTGGGAGCTGGAGATAATGGAGAAGGAGGGTCTGATGCTCCTGAGGTGCCCATTTCCCATCTCCCTCAAGAAAGAAGGGTTTGGGATTACCTTCTTGCAGAGAACCATCTGGTGGTCAAACAGGAAGAAGACCCGCTGCTGGTTCCGGCCATAGGGCTGGTAGATCCAGGCCATTTCCCCAGTGTAGATCAGTTCCGAGCTCCTGTCTAGGATGTCCTCACCCTGGGAAGAACATGTGATAGTGAGAGGGAGCCAGGCAGAAGGGATGGACCTGTCACCTGCCTGGAAGCACTGAAAACTGGGCATAGACTGGGGCAAGAGGAGCACAGAAAAGGCCTGGCGGGGAAAGAGGGATAGAGAGGACTCCTGGGAATCCTTAAAAGGTTCCATGAGTGGCAAAGACCCATACTCTTGTTCACCCTTGGGCCAAATGAGCCCTACCACTCAGGACTGCTATATTCCTTCTATGCCAGTTGCTCTCTAGCCCAATAGGCACCAAGGTTCATTCTGGTTCCATGAGGTTTCTCTCTCTCTCTCTCTCTCTCTCTCTCTCTCTCTCTCACTTTCCTTGTCTTTTTCTCTATTAATTTCTCTTTCTGCATCAGTCCTTCATCCCAGATCTATTCTTTTAGTCTCTTTCTTATACCTGAAGAGTAAGCCTAAGGAAATAATAGAAGTCTCTCTGCTTTCCAAAGGAGTAAAAAAGGGGACAAGGGAGGGCAAGAAGGAGACAATGGTAGAAAGAGAAAGAGAGAATACATTCAGTCTTTTAAAATTATTTTCTTCTGTCAATTTATTAAAATACATTGATTAAATAGGAATAGGAAATAGGAAACTTCACAACCATATTATTCATAGCCTGAAACCACTTCCTCTTCTTGCTATATAGTCAGGAAAAAAAAAAAAAGTACCAACACATCTGACTTCTAGCTAATTCAGTTCTTCAATTTTACAGAGATCCTAAGGCCCCTTTTTCACAGTAACTCTGCTAGGTCAGAGGTACATGGGATATATGTCAGATGCCAAGGCAGATTTGGCACCTGTTCTCAAGAAGCTTACAGTCAGTGGAGGAAACTAATGCAGGTTGTGCACAGAACTCATGGAACATGAAGCAAACTATACCAAAGCCCTGGGCACAGGGCGTGTTCCAGGACCTATATAAAGATAGGGATAAAAATCAGTGGTCCAGGATGCAGGAGAATTAATACTAGCATCTATGGAGTACCTGGGTGGCTCAGTCAGTTGAGGCTCTGACTCTTGATTTTGGTTCAGGTCATGATTTCAGGGCTGTGAGACTGAGCCCCATGTTGAGCTCCATGCTGGGTGTAGATCCTGCTTGAGATTCTCTCTCCTGCTCCCTTTCACCCCCCTCCCCCTCTCTAAAAAATATATTAACACCTATATGCATCAGACATTTACTACATACTTTTGCTCTATTTCTTCTGAGGTATACAAGAAGCTTGGGAGGTGGTCTTACTCTCATTTTATAGTCCAAGAAATGTCAGGTGATCAGCTAAGATCACCCAGCTCATTAGCTAGATATCCATGACCCAAGCCCAATTCTGTGGCTCCAGAAAGTATACTCATTCTTGCCACTACATTATGCTGTCTCTAGACCAGTCAGTCCCTTCCTGTCTCTCGGTCTCAGTTTTTCCAGATGTTAAATGTGGTACATGAGGATGATCTCTAAGGTCCTAGCCCTGATACTCCAAAGTTAAGATCTCATCTTTGCACCCCAAATTTTTAAGTCAAGGTTAGAGATGGAGATCCCTGCATTACCCCTGTAAACAATTAGGACAGCCTAGACAGGGCAGTGGGCCAAAGAGAGGGGTAGCTGGAAATGGTATTCTTTAGCATACTACTTTTTTCAGTCTAAGTGATGAGAAGAAAAAGGGCAGCTCAGTGGAAATATTTTATAATAATATAACCTCAAAAAGAAAGCTCACAGATACTGTGACTCCAGATTCCATTTCAGGGGTTCCTTGGAACTTGAGTAAACATTCATCCTCAAAGGGCCCACATACTAACACAGAACTTCTGGGAGACGAAGCTCTCAGGGTGAGGGATTTATGCAGGGCTTTCCTGTTATATGTATGGGAAGCTGAGAGTGGTACCTCTCTGCCATGTCCCACCCTGAGACAGGCCAGGAAGATGTGCTACAGTCCATTTTGGATATATATAAAATAAAAGAAAGCCATAAAAACAGGCTAAGCCCAAACAAAGTTGGTCAAGATGACTTTTTTTTTTTTTCAGGATGACTTTCAAAGTTACACCCACTGTACCAGCCAGGAATACTCCTATTTTAAGTACTTGCAGCACATAACTCAGAAAAGAAAGGAAAGGAAAGGGGAAAGGGAAAAGGGGAAAGGGAAAAGGGGAAAGGGGAAAGGGGAAAGGAAAGGAAAGGAAAGGAAAGGAGAAAAGGGAAAGGGAAGGAAAAGGGGAAGGGGAAGGGAAAGGGGAGGGAAAGGAAGGTGAAGGGAAGGTGAAGGGAAGGAAAGGTGAAGGTGAAGGGAAAGGGATGGGAAGGGAAGGGGAAAGGGAAGGGAAGGGAAGGGAAGGGAAGGGGGAAGGGTAAGGAAGGGAAGAGTAAGTAAAGGGAAGGGGAAAGGAAGGAAGAGAGAAAGAAAGAGAGGAGAGGAGAGGAAGAAAGAAAACACCCTTATGCTCACCAAGCTGATTGATGTCACCTCTCTGTGTGCCAGTTTCCTCATCTTCATTTTTTTTTTAATTCTAAGGTCAATTTTTATTTCTACAAAAAAGGTAATCAAAAGAGTATAAAAGACATGTAAAGTATATTACTGAGTGAACTTCAAGTGGAGCTTGAGTCTGCAAAGATTGTGAATCTAGAGGGAGATGGAGGGCCATCTTGTTTCTGGGCTGGCCAGCTGCTCTGAAGGAAGAGATCAGCAGACCACTGACAACTCCGCACTGGTGCTGGCTATAGCCAAGTCCTGCCAATTGCAGACAATCTGAACCCTGGAAAGGGTCAAATTGTGCCTAGAGAGGATGACAGTGAGCTGCACTACATTTCCTCATCTTGAAAATGCATTCCCTACACTGACTGTCATCTTTAAAATGAAGGTAATAACAGTACCAATCTCATTTGGCTGTTGTGTAGATTATGTAAGTTAAAACATGTAAAGTGCTTAGGAAAGTACACTTCACACTGTAAATTCTCTTGATTATCATTGTGCATTCTATATCCTATGTCACATATTCCCATTAATACTCACAAGAACCCAATGAGGAATGTACTGTTATTACCCCCAAAACCAAGATCAGAGAAATTGGAAGTAAGTTGCCCAAAGAATCCAGAATCCAGAATCCAGAATCCAGGCCAGACTCCCTCCAAAGCCACCAAAGAACAGTATAATGATAATCCTTAGTGGAACAACTAGCTACCTTGAAAGATTTATGAGGTGAGAATCTCCAAAGACTTGGGTTCTGGGCCCAGTGTTGTCATCAATTCACTCTGTACCCTTGGGGAGTAGCTTAAACACTCTCAATCTATTTTCTCAATTGAATAATGGATAATACAACAGTTCCTGCTTGTTTCACTTCGCATGGCTGCTTGAGAGCAAAAATCAGATCATACAAGGGAAATGGCCCTCTCAGAGTTCAGATTTCTCACCCTTTGCCTCTTCCACCCCACTTGCACCATATATTTACTTTGCCTTGCCCCCAAAAGTACAATCCCTTCCCATTGCCACCTCCCCTATGTACATGCTGTTTTCTTTCATTCCTCCAGGAATTTGCATACACTGTTCCCTCTGCCTGGAACGTATTTGTCCCAGTGTAAAACCAAGGCCACTCATTCATTTCAATAGCCCAATGTCCAACACCTCATTCTAGTTATAGGCTGATTTTTCTGAGGTGAGGCTGTAGCCTGAACAGATCTAGGGAAAGAAGGACAAGGGAAATAACCTACTTTTCATATAGTTCATTTTCAATGCTGCCTATTCACAGGATAGCAGGGAAATAACAAATCCAGCCAGCTTTACACTTGATCTCTTGGTCCCAGAAGTATGCCTCATCAAACTACCTTAGCTTTTTAAATAGATGTTTTTCTGTTTCTATGATGTTGGGTGTCTGCGTTTCCTCCGACATTTTGGATTGAATTATCCAGTGGTAAACTGGAACTGGTCTTTGGGTATTACACAAGCAGGCTGTTAGGGGAGTAATGTCACCACAATCATATATAGTCAAATTCTCAAACATGAGCTAAAAATTTGGGCTCATGGTAAAAATCTCTGGTGGGGGGGAGATTAAAAGGAAGCTGCCAGGGATATGTTCCTTTTCACTTACTTTCAAGTGGATCTAATGAGTGTGAAGGGTAGCAATGTGACAGCTCAACCAACCATCAGCATCAGAGATATTAGAAATGTAAATTTCCCTAAAATTACAGTCTATGAGAACAGATTCTTCTCCCTGTTGCTTTCTCAGCCGCTCTAAGGTATGGATTATTACTTTGATGTATGGATGATACTTTTACTCATCCATTTATTTTTTAGGAGCCCTGGGCATCAGGTCTGGATATAAAACAAGGCCTCCTACTCTCTATTCAGATATTCTGATTTACTGAGTAGGTATCAATTGCCTGTATGCTGCCAACCCTCAATGATCTTTCCCAATTCCTCTTCAAAGTAGATTAAGCTCTGAAGATTTCCCCTATGACTCTTCTTTTTAGTTTGACAAATAAAGCTGAAATTATCATGTGGATGCTTTGACAGCCACCCTGTTTGTTCAAACTTCTGGGGGAAGGCAATAAATCATTTTCTTGATTTGCAAGGCTTGTCCACAGCAGCCCTCAGCAAGCTGGTGGGACCTTTCTTTGCTTGTGCAACTGCTTGGACAAGTAGAACAGACAAAGAACCTCTACCAGGGAACCAGTAAGGTTTGGCTACTTATGTCAATAGCTAGCAAGCCATGGAGTGGATATGTCTTATTGCCTTTTCAGGGTGGTCCTCCAGTACTCATCAACCTTTAGCCATACTAGGGTTTGGATATTTTCCCCAAGGAATTCTTACTGCCTGCTTAGATATGGACCTTTTACTGCAAAAACAAGTCCCTGCAGCATCACAAAGGAAAGCAACTGGGGTGTGGGAAGCAGAAGGTTGAAAAGAGTATGTAGGCAGCAATGAAAAGAATACCACAGAGAGAATCTGGAGAACAGATTAAAATTTTAGCTTTGTGGTCTTGGTCAAGAATAGGCTTCTCAGACTTTCACCATCATTACAACATGTGTGTGTGTGTGTGTGTGTGTGTGTGTGTGTGCGTGTGTGTATGTCCCTGGACAGAACTGTTGATGGGGAGAGTAGTCCCCTAAAAGCCCTGGTGATTGACATTCTAGAAGTCTTGAAGACTAGATATGACAAACATAAGACACTTTAGGCCTGCCCTCTCAAATGTACCCATCAGGGTTAGATGGAAAAAAGCTTCCTCTAGAGCTAGGACATTCCACAGTGAACCCAGAGTCTGAAAAAGGAACCATAAGGAATTTTTCTTCTTACCAAATTAGATGAAGAAGGACTTCACCAAGTAGCAGGGTGTCAGGGTTATACATATAGGCTTGGTTGAGATTAGCATGATTATGCTAACAAAGGAGGCAGAGAGTAACTATTCTCCCATTGATCCTGGCTCAAAATTGCCATTTTGTTTCCCATCCCCCACTTCTAGACAAAAGCATATGAAATTCTTCCTTAGATGTTGAGTCTTTAAATCACAGTTCAGTGTTTTTGAGTTTGGTATTAATAAGGTTCCCTGGATAGGCCAAGGAATTTCAAGCTATTGCTGGTCCTCCATGGCTCTACCTTCAATTACTGGATGCTCAGAGCATATGGAGGAATTAGATCTCATAAGCATAGGAAGAGGGAAAATGTGCCAGGGAATATGAAAACAACTGCTTCTGGGAACCTCCTTTTACAGAGAACCCTGCAGGAGTAGAGAAAAAGAGGCCTGATAACCAGACACAATTTCAGAGTCCCTTGGAGTTGATGGGCTTGTTAGAGGTCATTTAGTCTATCTTTTTGCTTTTGATCAGGCAACTAGCCAAAGTAAGTCAGACACAAGGGAAGGAGAACCATGATTCCCTAATAGTCTGGGCCAGTGTTGGTTTCCTCTTAAGAGCAACAGGGTCTCTTTATATAGATTCATTCCGTTCTCTTCATCTCAATCACTCCTGTTTTCTACTCTTATGGCAATATTATCCTTTAAAGAAGACTAAAAAATATGCCAAATGCTCAGAACTGTGGTCTTTAACAGCCATCTACATTAAGAAGGATCAGAGGTAGCAGAATAAATAAAAGATGATTTTTTTTTCTGGACTTAAGTAAAATAGCTGTTTGCAAGGCTGATGCTTAATCTTCTTAAAATCTTCTTAAAATCTTCTTAAAATGTGCTACTGTTTGAAATGCTAGGGAGATACTACCTCTCAATCAATTCTCAATTCTGATACCAGAATTGAGGCAAGTGGAATAGGGAACTGGTTCAACTTCTACACTGTGACTATGAAGCTTAAGTTTGCTCTGACCGCTTCCTGGTAGCATGACCAGCCTTTCCCATCTTGGTTACGTTAGCCTACAGACTGTCAGATTTCACAATCTGCATCTGAGAGATGAAAGTGAAATGCAATGACCCCTGGTTCTCTTGGTGGGCACAAGAAATAAACACTAAATGGTATACTCAACACACCTACCTATGAAGCCTTATAATTCACAGCTCTGTTTCTATTGAACAGAAACCCAAAGAACCTCAACAGAGCAGTGGGATGAACAGAAGCAAAATCTCAATTTATTTGTTAGGTTGTATATAGCTTTTGCAAGTGAGTGTCTAGGAAATAAGTCTTTAGTGACCTCATTCACTGAAGACTTTCTGAGTTCAGAGAAGTTGTGGCTGTTTCCAATGAAATAGGAGGGTTTCAGGAATTATTTTTATAAGCAAATGATAAAAAAACAGAATTTGATCTGTCAATTCGGCAGGAATGATGACCTCGGCCTCAAGGGTGCAAGCTTGGGTAGAACTAGTAAATGTGTCAGGGCAAGGTAATCTCACCAATGGAAAAAAGATGTATGTTGGTTGGCCTGCACCAGAGAGAGAACCAACTTTATATTCTGTGTCTGGGAGTGAATTAGTACACACTACTTCTTAATCAAGTGTTCACCTGGAGGTGATAAAACTCCAGGACTGGAAAGGAGCTTAAAAGTCTACTGAGTTGATCCAATCTGTTTTCCTGGCAACACACAAAGAGATGAACCTTTCTTTTCTTAATGAAGTGTTGCCTCAAAGATTTTTCCAACCTTCTTAGAAAGCTACTCAAATACACAACACCTCTCATTCGTAGAAAGTTTTGCCTTGGCTCTAATCTAAATCCTTTCTGCTGCTCTTTAAATTTAATTCCTTTTCATCCATCTTTGGCGAAGATGTGATGTTCTAGCTAAGCTATTTAGACTCCCCAGTGCCCTTGTTCATGAGGATCCTACCTCCCAGTCTAGGACAGATGCCTGCCACTGGGCAATCTTGTCAATATTCTCCAAACGCCGCTTGCGCTCATTGATCTGCTGAGTCACGTTTCTCATGACAGCCAGAGCAGCTGCCACATACCTGTAGTCACTGTGAAGACACAAAAGTACAAGTTGGATGTATCAATGTGTTAGAGAACCAATGTTTTGTGTGCCTACCCTAACATCTATTCTTCTCTCCCTACTTAGTAACAGAGCCCTGATTTTCAGATGGAACCCATGCCACATTGAGTAAAATATTACATTTCCTATCTCTTTACAATAATGGGTGATTATGTGATGAGTCAAGTGATATGCAAATAGAAATTCTGGGCAGAGATTTTCAGAAACCTCCTTTAAGGAAGATAGCATATGCTTCTTTAGCCTTTACTCAATTTTGATGCTTGGAATGTAGATGTGATGGTTGAAGTTCCAGCAGTTATCTTGAACCATAAGAAAAAGTCCCTACTCCTAGGGAGAGATAACAGAAAGTTGGAAGGAGCCCAAGTTTTTGATGACCACTGAGCTACCACAGCAGTCATGGACTGCCTACCTGCAGACTATTTTTTTTTTTACATAAAAGGGAAATAGACTCCTATCTTTCTTATAGCTCTATTTTTGTATCCAATCTGATAAAATCAGCCAAGGATCAAGAAGGGAACCTTATACCTGGCATGGTCCAGAGCTTTGCCATCTCTTCTACTGCATATTTCTAGAGAACTCTACCCCAAATCACTGTGAAATAATATCTATTCTTTTCCTCCAGTACGATATACAGATAGTATATAGCACAGTGGCTAAGAAAAGACTCTGGATCTATACTCTGGCTCAGACCCTAGTTTTGTCACTGAGTAGTGGTCTTTGGCAAGCCTCACTGACTCTCTCAATGACTCAGTTTATTCATATGTGAAATGGGAGAATTATAGGAGGGTTTGTTGAGGGTTTAATTATCCACATAAACTGTTTTACTCCTGGCCTATAGTAAATGTTAGCAGTATTATTAGTACAAATGAAACATTTCTCTAGAATAGACACCACATGGGTTACCTCTCAAAACCTCTAGTCCCAGAAGTGCAACTTTAGGCTCAGTTTCCTGGGACTTTGGATGGCCTACTTGTTAAAGTTTATATTGTCCTACCCTGTCTTCTCTGCTTGTCTGATCTGACTTCCAATCAAATTGCCCCTATGAAAAGCAGATTGAAAGTGAGATTCCAGGGGCGCCTGGGTGGCTCAGTGGGTTAAAGCCTCTGCCTTCGGCTCAGGTTATGATCTCAGGGTTCTGGGATCGAGTCCCGCATTGGGCTCCCTGCTCAGCGGGGAGCCTGCTTCCTCCTCCCTCTCTCTCTCTGCCTGCCTGCTTGTGATCTCTCTCTGTCAAATCAATACATTAAAAAAAATAAAGTGAGATTCCAGCCATTTGGTGGAGTTACAATAGACAGAGAGGGCAAGAGGATGAATTATGATTCAGTCTTAACTAATCTTTCCTTAGAAAAACTAAGCATGCTTTGTGGTCATTAACCTGCTCACTGTCCCAGCACTAATTAGAAAAAAAAAAGGAGGAAAAAGACATACACAGCAATTGTCTTTTTCTTTTCTAATACACTGAAGTGTGGGGTGATTGAATAATAAGAGGCACAGAGAAGGCAGTTCTAACTGCCAGGTCAGACACCATGTAGCACTTCCTCTTAGATGGTCTCCTGTGTTCTGTGAATACCTGCCAGATCATAGTCTTCAAGTGCTACTAAATTTTATCACCTCCAATGGTGGGATGCTCACTGTACATCCTAACCAGTTTATTCTGTCTCAAGACAACTTAGCTTAAAAAAAAAAAAAAACTCTCTTAAAGTCTTATTTATTCTGAGCCTTAATAAGTGTTAGCTATTAACAGTTTTTCTTCTGGACCCAACTGCTGACTTATATTGAACTCATGGTTGACTAATGCTTCCTAAATCTCTTTAAATTATGCTGTCCAGGGGCACCTAGGTGGCTTGATGTGTTACGTGTCTGCATTCGGCTCAGGTCGTGATCCCAGAGTCTTGGGATCAAGCCCCACATCAGGTTCCCTGCTTAGTGGGGAGTCAGCTTCTCTCTCTGCCCTTCTCCCTGCTTTCCTGCTCTCTGAAATAAACATATTTTAAAAATAGCCTGTCTAGAAGCTGCATCTCTCTAAGCTGTCCTTGAACTCTGTCTCCGTCTTGATTTCTTAGACCAAACTGCAAAACCTTACGTTTGTTTTTTTTTTAAAAATTCAGTTAGTCAATATATAATACATCATTAGTCTTTGATGTAATGTTCAATGATTCGTTAGTTGCATATAACACCCAGTGCTCATCACATCATGTGTCCTCCTTAATGCCCATCACCCAGTTACCCCATCCCCTACCCACCTCCCTTTCTGCAACCCTCAGGTTTTTTCCTGGAGTCAAGAGTCTCTCATGGTTTTTCACTACCCACCTCCCTCACAGCCAACACAGCATGGCAGGCAGAGCTACCAATGGTGGTATTCTCACACAAAGGGAGAGTCCAGTGTTACCACATTTGGATTCAAATCTGAAATTTGTCCAAGGCTCCGGAAACTGAAGCACATGACCATTATTTGCTAAAGAAACACCATTAACTTAAAAATGAACCCAGGGACTGGCCCTGAGCTTAGCATAAAGAAAACCAACTGACCCATACCCGTGGCCTTTTACAACTAGGTCTGGAAGTCAGCTCCAAGGAAACCAGATAATGAAGTCAAGTGAAAGTAAGAAGTGGGTCTAATGAGAATTAGGCAGAAAGCTAAGGGAAATTGGTCAACAGTCTTCTTTCTTCTTGGAAGGTTCAATTGAGAAGAGAGCTGAATGAGTCAAAGATCAGGGATTTAATACTAATTAAAGGCAGGCTATAAAAAGGCTGAGGGCTCTAGATCATAAAGTAAAGCATGTGAAAGAGTAGGGCGGTGGTTTACTCATTGCTGGAGATGACTCTCGGCGTATACTTCACTGGTAGGCTCATTTACTGGTAGGTCATTTCCATTCAGAGAGAGATAAGCTTCTTGGTAATTTTTGGGTTGGTTTTCTTTAAAAAAAAAACTACTGAAAAATTAAAAAAAAAAAAAACTTCAGGAGACGTCTTAAGTCTCTTTACTCCCCAGTCATGCTATGAGTCTACAGAGAAGGCACAATAGGGTTTCGTGGGTGGCTCTGTGGGTTAAGCCTCTGCCTTCGGCTCAGGTCATGATCTCAGGATCCTGAGATAGAGCCCTGCATTAGGCTGTGTGCTCAGCAGGGAGCCTGCTTCCCCCTCTCCCTCTGCCTGCCTCTCTGCTTACTTGTGATCTCTGTCTGTCAAATAAATAAATAAAATCTTTTTTTTTTTTTTTAAGAGAGAAGGCATAGTTGGGATGAGCCAGAAGAGGGTGGAAAAGACTAAAGAATACCAGAGATATAGGCTTGCAGAAGAAATCTAAGGTCAGTACAAGTTATGCAGGCTGTTACTAGGATATTGAATCTATCAAACAGAGAAGAATAGACAGCTGAACAATTATTCCATCTAGATTATTTACCTTAGCTAAACCTGGGGCTAAGGACCCAGTTAAGCTCCCTAAAGGCACGGTGTTAAGTTGTGCCATAATGATAATGCATACTGATTTTTTGTGCATTGTGATTCCCATGTTTATAAGAAACTCTCACAAGCATTCCTTTGCTTTACACATAGAATAACCTTGCGAGGTAAGCAATGATATATTACCATCCCATTGTGCAGAGAAGTTAACAGAAGGAAGCTCAAAAAAGCTAAAGGATATATGTTCTCAATAAAGACCAACATGTAGATGAGGCTCTCCTAACCCCTGCTTTCTTTTTTCTTTTACCTATGGTCCTGGGCAGTATATTTGAGGAGCTCAGCCAGTTGTAAGGGATACTTGCAGATCTTCTGCACAGGAGTCAAAAGGAAACCATCAATAGCAATGTCGATCATCTGCTGCAAGAGGCGACAGGCCTCAAAGAAGTGCTGGTAGCGGCTGTCCTTCATTAGTTTGGAGAGTTCCATGCAGGCATCCAGGTGGTTGTTACAATATTCAGAGTATATCCAGAATCCATCTTGCTATAAACACAGGAAAAATGGAGAGAAAAAAAAGGTTTACTGATAATTCCAAAATAAGTTTTGGAGAAATGAAAAAACAGATCTTGTCCTTACCTAGAAATATTAAAATGGTAACAATGTGAATCTTTCCTAAATTGATTCATAATTTTTATAATAAAATAAAGAAATTATTTGGGAAGTAGACAAACTATAAACATTTGTATAGAAAAATATAAGTAGGAATAGTAGTGAAATTCTATTAAAAAATGGTAATGACAGAACACTGCTCCTCACAAAAGTGAAAATACTACAGCAATAAAATTCTGGCACTGGATTTTATTTTTTTTATTTTTTCAAGTTTTTATTTTAATTCCACTTAGTTAACATACAGTGTTAGTTCAGGTGTACAAATATAGCGATTCAGCAATCCCATACATCACTACCCAGTGCTCATCAAAACAAAGGCACTTCTTAATCCCCACCATCTATTTAACTCATCCACCCACCAACCTCCTCTCTGGTGACCATCAATTTGTTCTCTATAGGTAAGAGTCTGTTTCTCGGTTTGTCTCTATTTTTTTTTCCATTGCTCATTTGTTTTGTTTCTTAAATTTCACATATGAGTGAAATCACATTGTATTTGTCTTTCTCTGACTGACTTATTTTACTTAGCATTGTATCTTCCATCTCCATCTGTGTCTTTGCAAATGGCAAGATTTCATTCTTTGTGTGTGTGTGTGTGTGTGTGTGTGTGTGTTTTACACACCACATATTCTTTGCCCATTTATCTAGCGATGGACACTTGGTATGTTTCCATATCTTGGCTATTGTAAATAATGCTTTTATAAATGTAGGGGTGCATATATCCTTTTGAATTAATGTTTTTGGAATTTTGGGGTAAATATCAAGTAGTGTGATTATTGGATCATAGGATAGTTCAATTTTAACTTCTTGAGAAACCTCCACACTTCTTCCACAGAGGCTGCACCAGTTTGCATTCCCAATAATGCAAGAGCGTTCCTTTTTCTCTATATCCTAGCCAGCACCTGTTGCTTCTTGTGTTAATTTAGCCATTCTGAAAGGGGTGAGATGGTATCTAATTGTGGTTTTGATTTTTGCTGATGATGAGTGATATTGAGCATTCTCTCATTTGTCTGTTGGCCAACTGTATTTCTTTGAAGAAATGTCTGTCATATATTCTATCCATTTTTTTTTAAATTGGATATTTTGCCTTTTGGGGTGATGAGTTGTATCAGTTTTTTACATAATTTGAATACTAACCCTTTATCAGATATGTCATTTGCAAATATCTTCTCCCATTCAGTAGGTTGCCTTTGACTTTTGTTGACTGTTTCTTAGTTGTGTAGAAGCTTTTTATTTTTATACAGTCCCAATAGTTTATTTTTGTTGTGGTTTCCTTTGCCTCACGAGACATACCTAAAAAAGTTTCTATGCTGATATCAGGGACATTACTGCCTGTGCTCTCTTCTAGGATTTTTATGGTTTCATGTCTCACATTTAGATCTTTAAACCATGTTAAATTTATTTTTGTTTATGGTGTAAGAAAGTGGTCTAGTTTCATTCTTTTGCAGGTAGTTGATCAGTTTTTGTTGAAGAGACTGTCTTTTCCCCATTGGATATTCTTTCCTGCTTTGTCAAAAGTAACTGAACATATAATTATGGGTTTATTTCTGGGTTTTCTATTCTGTTCTATTGACCGATGTGTCTATTTTAGTGCTAGTACCATAAAGTTTTGATTACTGTCACTTTATAATTTAATGTGAAGTCTAGGATTGTGATAACTCCAGCCTTGCTTTCCTTTTTCAAAACTGCTTTGGCTATTTGAGGTCTTTTGTAGCTCCATATAAATTTCAGGATTATTTGTTCTAGTTGTGTGAAAAATGTTGTTGGTATTTTCATATGGATTGCATTAAATATGTAGATTTGCTTGGGTAGTAGAGACATTTTAGCAATATTCATTCTTCCAACCCATGGACATGGAATGTTTTCCCATTTATTTGTATCATATTCAATTTCTTTCACTGGTGTTTTATAGTTTTCAGACTACAGGTCTTTCACCTCTTTGGTTAGGTTTATTTCTAGCTATCTTATTTTTGGTGCAGTTATAAATCAGATTGTTTTCTTTATTTCTCTTTATGCCTCTTCATTATTAGTGTACAGAAATGTAACAGATTTCTGCACATTGATTTTGCATCTGCAACTTCACTGAATTCATTTATAAGTTCTAGAAGGCTTTTGGTGGAGTCTTTCAGGTTTTCTAATTAGAACATCATGTCATCTGCAAATAGTGAAAGTTTTACTTCTTCCTTACCTATTTGGAAACCTTTTATTTCTTTTTGTTGTTTAACTGCTATAACTAGGGCTTCCAATAATACGTTGAATAAAGGTGGTGAAAGAGTACATCCTTATTTTGTTCCTGACCTTAGGAAGAAAGGTTTCAGGTTCTTCCCAGTGAGTATGAAGTTAGCTGTGGGTTTTTTAAATATGGCTTTTATTATGCTAAAATATATTCCTTTTAAACCTACTTCCTTGAAGGCTTTTATCATGATTTGATACTGTATTTTGTCAAGCACTTTTTCTTCATCTATTGAAATGATCATATGGTTTTTATCAACTGTCTTATTGTTGTGATACATCATGTTGGTTGATTTGAGAATATAGAACCACATTTGCATCCCAGGAATAAAGCCCACTTGATTGTGGTAGATGATTTTTTTAACATATTGTTGGTTATGGTTTGCTAATATTTTTTGAGTATTTTTGCATGTATGCTCAGCAGGGATATTGGCCTGTAGCGTTCTCTCTCTCTCTCTCTCTCTTTCTGGTGCCTTTATCTTGTTTTAGTGTAAGGGTGATACTGGCCTCATAGAATGAATTTAGAGGTTTTCTTTATTCTTTTATTTTTTTGGAATATTTCAAGAAGAATACATATTAACTGTTCTTTAAATGTTTGGTAGAATTCTCCTGTGAAGCCAACTGATCCCGGACTTTTGTTTGCTGGAAGTTTTTTTGATTACTGACTCAGTCTCCTTGCTGGTAATCAGTATGTGCCAGTTTTCTACTTCTTGCAGTTTTGGTAGGCTATGTGTTCCTAGGGATTTATCCATTTGTTGTATTTGTTCTATGTTCCCTAATTCTGTGGCATACAGTTTTTCATATTTTTAAAACAATTGTTTGTATTTCTGTGCTGTTGGTTGTTATTTTTCCTCTTTCAGTTATGATTATAATTATTTGAGCCCTCTCTGTCTCTCTCTCTCTTTGATGAGTCTGGCTAAAGGTTTATCAATTCTGTCAATCTTTTCAAAGAGCCAGCTCCTAGTTTCACTGATCTGTTCTATTGATTTTTTAGTTAATATATCATCTATTTTTGCTCTCATCTTTTTCACTTCCTTCCTTCTGCTGGTTTTGAATTTTATTTGTTGTTTCTTGTCTAGTGATAAAAGAAATGTTCAACTTTTAATGTTTGTGGACCCTGCTCCTGGGCTCCAAGGGAAGCTATACTTTTATAAGAACGACTTCACCAAACTTCAAAGTATGGGCTCTATATGTGCCCTGAGCACACATTGTGCATCTGTTTTGTAGCAAATACCAAAAAAGAAATATTTCGAACTAGAGATAGGAGTAAAAATCTCCCCAAGTTCTATTTCCATAGCTCTGAAGCCTGCAAACTTGCATATACTAAAAGCATTAGATAAAGTTTGTAATTTTCTGAAATGTCCTTCATCATGATGATTTGTTGACTCTTGAAACAAAACAAAACAAAACAAAACATATATAACCCGGTATTAAACATTCCTTTTCTGGAGCACTTTCTTCTATGTTAAGACTGTGTATCTTGGGCTGTTGTCTTTCCTTGGGCTTAAATAAAACTCTCTTCCTTTAAAGAAAAAAAAAAAGAAATTCTAAAAGGTTTTTATTTTCTTCCAAGTTTTTATTGTAAATTCCAGTTAGTTAACATACAGTGTGATATTTGCGTCATGAAAAGGATTTAGTGATTCATCACTTACATACAATACCTAGTGCTTATCACAAGTGCTCTCCTTAATACCCATCTGGTCATCCACCATTCCTCCAGCAACCCTCAGTTTGTCCTCTATAGTTAAGAGTTGGTTTTACGGTTTGCCTCTTTACCCCTGTGTTCACCTGTTTTGTTTCTTAAATTCCACATGAATGAAATCATATGGTATTTGTCTTTCTCTGATTTATTTCACATAGACTAATATTCTCCAGCTCTACCCATGTCATTGCAAATAACAAGATTTTGTTCTTTTTGTGGCTGAGTAATATTCCATTGTGTATGTACACACACACACACACACACACACACACACACACACACACACAAACACACATATGGATGTCCATTCATCAGTCAGTGGATATTTGGACTCTCCATAATTTGGCTAGTCCAATATTTGGACTCTCCACAATAATGCTGCTATAAACATCAGGTGCATGTGTCCATCTGAATTAGTGTTAATGTAAACTTTTCTAAATACCTAGTAGTGCAACTGCTGGATCATGGGGTAGTTCTATTGTGACCTTTTTGAGGAACCTCCATACTGTTTTCCAGAGTGGCTGCACCAATTTGCACTCCCACCATTAGTGTAAGAGGGTTCTCCCTTTTTCCACACCCTTGCCAACATCTGTTGTTTCCTGTGTTATTTACTTTAGTTATTCTGGCAGTTGTGTGGTGATATCTCATTGTTGTTTTCATTTCCCTGATGATGAATGATGATAAACATCTTTTCATGTATTTGCTAGCCATCTGTATGTATTCTTTGGAAAAAAATATCTATTTATGTCTTCTACCCATTTTCAACTGGATTATTTGTTTTTTAGGTATTGAGCTTGATAAATTCTTTATAGATTTTGGACACTAATCCTTCATCAGATATGTCATTTACAAATATCTTCTCTCATTCTGAGGGTTGCCTTTTAATTTGATTATTGTTTCTTTCACTGCGCAGAAGCTATTTTATCTTGATAAGGTCCCAAGA